GAATGCCATCTTCAGACATTTTAACCTCTAGCAGCACAAAAATATTAATTAGCTCTTGTCTGTTTTACAGAGTAAGTTTTAGTAAACTGAAAGTCTAGCTCTAGATCCATCCAGGTGCAATTCAACATGAAGTCAATGTGGATTCAATGGTTTATTTAACATCATTTTTGCCCTATGAATATGCAGTAATTGTCCTGCATCTACTCAGTATATTCCCACGATCAGGAAGTGAAAGCAGCCATACTGAAATATTAGCACTTAAAGCTGAATAATGCTGCTGGATACGTCAGAAAACTAACAACACTCCTCATACTCTGATGGGCTTGGAGGACAGACCCTCCAGACCCCCAGAAGTACAGGGCTCACATACTCATGTCAGGATGCTCACTTGCCAGGACAGACCTGAGCCTGTCTCATGTGTGGCACCAAGTCTTCCCCAGAGGCTGCATCTTGTGGAACTCTGTTCTCAGAACTGAATTAGAAGGTGCCATTGGCCCCAAAAGCCACAACGCCAGGGAGGTCTCCCCTGGCATTATGTACACGTTAAAAAAAATTAAAATAGCCACTTGCACACACAGGCTCCATTGGCAACTTTGACCTTTACCTACTGTTCATAAAACCCTCACAGATAAACATTTACAATTTAAAAATAAAATGTGGGTTTTTTTTTAAAAAAAGAATAACCTCTACATTTCTGTCAGCCAACTAATTTCAATCACAGCATAATCTAAGAAAAAAGCAAATCCTGGCCAAGAATGGCTACCATAGGACCCTCAAGAGGCAGCCCAGCCCCCCGCCTGCAGCCTGAGGGAGCAGCGTACCCCAGCTCTTCACATCCCTACAACCCAGCTAGGAACTTTTGGTGAACTTGGATTGACTATATTGTTTCTCTTTCAGTTTAGGAATGACCAGTCCTCATGACGGCTGCATTTCAAGAGAGCAGAGAGGTGGAATGGCTCCTGGGCAGCATCCAGTATTAATGGCAGTGCTCAGTGATATCCACAACAACTGCCTTTTTCCAGCTGAAGAAGAAATAACCCATCCCTGCCCCTGCTGCCACAGCTATGCAGAGGTAGCCATTGTACGTCATGAAGATCAGCATAAGGAAGTAACTGACCACGACTTGGATGATGTGCAGTATAGTCTGCAGGAGGTGAGGGAAGCTCAGCATCTGCTGTCTGAGAACACAAAAACCAGAGAACAGTCAGCATCCATGCGACACAAAAGGGGAAATGAAGGTCCCCAAAAAAACTTAAGTCCACAAGCTGATGGGACGCCAAGGCGGGCATGAAATGGCAGAGGAGAGACAAAGCAGGCTGAAGGTGCCTGCATAGCCTTTTGCATGCATTTGTCACTTAAAACCGTGGTTTTTCCCAACAAAGCTGATTGATAACAAAAGAAATACGGTGCTCACTGGGAGGACAAAACTGTTTAACTGAGAAAAAGATTTCTGCAAGTTTATCTTACCCCTGTTCAATAAGCAGGGTGACTTCTTTTGCGAGCAGGGGCTTTGATTAGCTGGTCACAGAAGGATCCTCAGCATTTTCTGTCAGCGTTGCTGGATATCCCACCCAAATTCTGTTCCTGGGAACTCCCCATAGGTGTTCTTTACCTCTCTGGAAAAAGCTAGTTCATCTAACACCTTGCTGCTTTCCCCCTTTCCTCCCCCATCCTAAAGCGTAGCCAAGTGATTCAAGCACACACATTAGAGTCCTCCGGGGTCAAGTAATGCCCATGTCTTGGGATTAATAAACTTTGCAGAGAGTTACACTGGCTGCATAAAGTTTTTTCTGTCCTACTTCTTGCCCTTCAGGGCTGCTGACAGGACTTGTCTTAGAAGAAAGGGAAATTCTTACCCAACAGTTTTATGCGTCTCCATCAAGATGGTGCCGTTTGGACCTGGCACTGGCATAGAGTTGTAGCGAATGCTGACCTGGGATTTACGGAGCAGACACTCTCGGGCAATCTTTAGGCCTTCATAAAACATGGCTAGGAAGAAGACAGCCACAAAGGCACCAGCCATTTCTGACAAAAGAGGAAAAGTTACTGAATCTGTGCAACACGAGACATTTGTTTCAAAACACGTCAGAAGAGACGCCTTGTGATTCAACAACTATGTCACACTGCACGGGCTATAGCTGGGCACTGCATGCACACTTCTACAGATGTAAATGTCAGTTTAACACAAGCAAATTGAAATTGGGCTCATGAAGTGAAACCAACAATCGTTTTTGCTAATAAGACCAGTCAAACTCTGGAACTACGTGAACATCTTCCTTTTCCTTTCATTCCACAAATCCCATTTAAAAACAGGCTAACCACACTGTGCCTGGATATTTTTGCCACAAATAGCCTTATACAGCAGGGTAATTCCAGCAATGTTCATCATTTGCAAGCCTTTGGTTTGGCTTGGACAAGACAGTTATACTAACCTCCAGCAGTATTGATTGTAAGCCCGGAAAACAGCAGTGGCACGTTCTCATAGCTGAAGTGGAAAGTCATTGCCTGCCAAGACAAAGAACACGAAGATGAGCCTCAACAGCTCCTTCTCGGATGGAGCTCACAACAAGATTTAGAAAAGGCTGTTGTATTATGACAAGAATTTAAAGCAAGATCGTTCCAGTTGGTCAGCAGGTAGACTCGAAGAAACTCTTCAGCAAACTTTGCATAACAGATACAAGCTAGGCATGACTCAGGATGCTCCAGTTTCCAGTACTGGTGGGCAGCTCTTTTAGGCAATGCCCCTGGGCAGAAGGCACTTTCCTTCAAAGCAAGTACCTGCTATGGAGAAGTGCCTTCTCCTTGCTTTCGAGCTCCTTTTCTCCCCAGCACCAGAAGTAGTCAGGGAAGTCTCTGTAGATCTCATCCCTGCCAACCCATGACTACTCGTGGGCTGGGGTACTGGAACACTTTCTCCTCTCCCCTTAACCTCATACGAGCTCATAGAGACACAAGTTTGTATAGCTGAATCCTCTGGCCCTATCACGCACTGTGCCAGCAGACTACTGTCTCCTTACAGAACTTCCTAATATTCTGTGGGAAAAGAAGAGTTCTGAATACGACGACTAAGTATTGTTGCAGGGCCAGAGCTTCACCTGGGTGACAGTAAGGGGTCCTGGACCTGCGTAGGGAATGCTGTGGGAAGGGGAGACATCAAGGGTCTCAGGCAAGCTGGAGTTCATATAATACATATGATTTAGGTAAATACATTGCAGTTGTTAATAGTATATTTCTTCAGCACAGTTACTTACAATATCTTTACATGTAAAGAACTCAGGAAGCTAGAAGAATTTCTGTTTGAACTTCTCTGATTGTTTAATTAGGTTTTTTTGCTGAAGATCAGAGTTACGACTAATTTCAGCATCCATAAGAATCATTAGCCCCAGTGTAGAAGTGACTATAAAACAGCTTTTAGAGACAATATCTATTTCTTTAATGAACGTCTTTACATTTAAAACAGAGACCCCACAAACCAAAGGTCTAGTGACAAAGACCCCACAAACTATCATCTAGTTCCATTACCTACAGCTGAAACAGGGGCTGTTACTTGGTGCAAGTGAGGAATGGGGGATATAGATACATTAAGATGAGTCCAGTTTTTTTTCCTGACATACTGTACTTTTTCTTTCTTCCCTGACATTTATCTGTGCAATGTTAATTCAAAATCTTGTGCGCTTTATCACAGCTTTCAATTACAGGTTAAGGCAGGGTCCTGTAATTATCCCATTGAAGACAAGAGCACTTGGCACTTGTAAAGAAAGGGCATTTAAATCGAAAGGAATACATGAGAGAACATCAATACTTAACAGTTAGATTATATGAAGACCTTCATGAGGAGCTCTTGAAACACTTCCAGAGGCACCACCAGTGAAAACGCTGGGCTCTAAGTTCCAACAGCACCACTGGGCTCTGCATTGGGCCATGTTCACAAAAGGGAAGGATGCTCTAATTCTCTCCTCTCCTACCTTGATACTGCTTGCAATGAAAGTAAAGCATTGTATTTTGCTTCCTTTTTGGGGACATGTGCCTGGCAAGCAAACTTTAATTGAAGTTTTGCAAAATACACTGAGTACGTTCTCGTTTTAAATTGAAACGCACACTCCCTCCCCTCCCTTCACAGTTTAAACATAAAGAGTTATGTTTTAATCTGAAACTCTCTCCAAAGTATTTAGAAAAGGGAGAAAAGGCTGAAAAAGTCATTCCTAGGACTGGCTATGCACAATGACACAGATCCTATGGCTGCATCCATGGCAACTCTGGTCAGCGTCTCTACAAAGCTTCGGTGGCACCGGTGAGCACAAGTCTGAACTCGTTTAAATCAAAGTCAGCTAGAACAGCAGGATGCAGGACCAACATACCCTTAATGCCAACGTGGCAAAGAGCCTGGTAGCACTTTGCTCCCCAAACCCAATGCGTACTTTAATTAAGTTCAAGAGGAAGAAGGCACAGAGCTTGCTTGCCTGCAGGTCAGCACAATCCATCCATTACAGCGTGCATTCCTCTCAGTGCCAGTTAAAGCTGTTGCTAACAGCACAAGAGAACTCCATCCATCCCCTTTTCTTGCAGGAAAATTCCAGCTCCTGTCGTTCTGTAGCTTACATAAATACTGAGCAGCTAGCTACCAGAGCAAGTGGCTCATGAAAGCCTTCCAGAAATGCTCACTTTGCATATCTGCGTTTAGCTTGCTAGAGCACAGATGCCAGGCAGGCTGCTAGGAAGGTTTTACAAGGCAAGACCATTTTGTCACAAGACTCTCCACTCTGGAACATATTTCATGTTGCACATTGCCTTGTGCCACTCTTTGATCTTGGAAGAGCCACAGTGATAGGTTTTAACAGGATCAACGCATGCCTTCCAAAGGTAAATTTGATTCCGAAGGGTACTATCTACAAGACGACAAGTTGCTCTGAACCACAGACAAGGAAATGTTCTGGTTAACGCTGACTTCGCCGCTTACCATCATCATCATCCCATTTCCATGACCATGCCCTGGGGCTGCTGTAGAGTGGTGATGTTCAGGAGGATGCAAGGTTGGCGACATAGAGCTGTTCATCATGTGGTGATCGAGAGACATCTTTACTACGGAGATATTCAAAGGGCACGTAAAAAAGTGGGACCCTGGAAAAACAAAGATAAAAATATTATAGGAAGCACTTTCTAAAGAGAAGATGGTTTCTCTACTTCTATTACAAGAGAAAACCCTCTACACCACCAAGATACTGTCTGAGAACTACTGCCCATGGATAACCGTCTGGAGCATCCTCGTCCTGCACTCTCGACTACACAGAGCACAGTAAAGTGAGCAGGCAAATTTAAAGGAGGTGTGTCCCTCTAAGCTTTACATTATCATACTGCTGGAACACCCTAAATGTTCCGGCTAGCAGACAGGGACAAATGCTCAGCATAAAGGAGCATTTCTTATCTGTAAGAGGGAAAAAAACCAAGTCTCAATCACAGTCATCCAGGAGGCAAAAATATCTCAAGCCCCATTTTAAATTGCATATACGAAAGGATCAGAGTACAATATTTCTCTTAATTGACAGTCATGCATTTTATTGGGAACATGTTTAACAAAGAAATCATGTTAGATGGTACAAGGGCTATTACCAGGCAAAGGTCTGCAACAGCCACAGGCAATTCAATCTCATTTCCACAAGCTTTACATTGTCGCATCTCCCCACTAATCATGTTACACACAGTAAGAGAAACACTCAGAAAGCTGCAGGTCTAAACCCTTAATCCAGTTACTGCAAATCAGCTATGTCCGGACACACTGCATTAAAAATAAAAATACACCTAGTGGTTAGATGTGGTCATGGCTTCTGCACTCTTCTTACCCTAGCTTAACTTGGGATGGGACCAGTGAGAACTTCTGGTGTGAAATGGAAGATCACCAGGTGGAAACAGCAAGAGGAAAGAAGAAAGCATGAGAATCCCAGTCAATCCTGGAACGATAGTATGCATCAGCGTGGCAGAGCCAGGCAAAGGCAACCCTAGGATAGACCAGGTGAGATACCACTAAAGGTAAGTAAGTACCGACGCTGCCGTATTAAACCCTGTCTGGAATATTGTGTACCCTCTCTGTCTAATCCAGTGCTCAAGTAAAATCAAGTGAAACCAGAACAAGTACAGAAGACAGTGTTCTTGCAAGGAAAAGAACAGACACTTTAGCCTATTAAAATAAAAAACTGAGACAAGATATATTTGCACAAGTCCTCAGGAGAGATTGTAAAGGGGAGAAAAGAGCTTTTTAAACTAAAAGACAATTTTGTATTTGAACAGTAAAGTATGAACACATTTAGACTGGAAATCAGAAGTGAAAAACTGAAATAGCTTTTTTTTTTCTGAAAAAAACTGAAACAGCAAACATCCAGTGTAGGAACTGGTTCAGTCTGTGACAGTGACATTACGAGAAAGCTCTGCAGGAATCGCAGGTGGCCCAGGACATGACTGTCAGTGTGTCCTTGCAGAGCATTAGTGACAGGAGGTGATCTCAAAAAGCTCTGAAATTAAACTACAATGAGCAATGAGAAAAGTTAAAGATTTGGGTGAGATACGAAGTAAACAAAGTCAGCGGCACTGGAGAACAATGCAAGAGAAAGAATTCACGTTCCTTGCAAACACTGAAATTAATAATGCAAGTAAGCACCTGTATGCATTCAAGTCAGCTGGTAAAAACTAAAGCAGCAATTTACAGCTCAGGTATTTTCTATGTTAACCCTGTGCAGATAACATTCATAGCAAATCTCAAGTTCTCACAAGCGGCTGCATGGGGACAGGCAGTCTATGCTTGTAGTCTATGCTTGAGGCTCACCTATGTAGCTCCTTTCCACTCGTGCTCCAGCCCCAAATCCAGCCCCCTACTACAGTTTCAACACATTGAAAGACTTTTTAAAAAATCCTGAAAGGGAGGGGGTATTAAGTAACATAAGAGGAAATAATCTAGACCGAGACACTTCAGCTGCCTCGTGTGTTAATAAAGGTAATCAACACGTGGATAAATTTTTGTTCAAAAATAAATCGTTTCCAGTGAAACACTTCAGCAGTACAATTAGTCTCCGAGTTACAACTTAGCAGGTCCCTCCCCACCTGCGTCCCGGGGTAAGAAGACAACAGCTGGGGCAGCAGCAACAGCAGATTAATGGATACGTAATATTTCAGATCTGCAGATCTCTGGTTTGCTTTTGCTGACTCTAAGAGACAAGCTGACTGTCATGGAACTGTGTTCATCATGAAGAAAAAGGCACTGTTCTTAACCAGTCTCACTCTATAGCTGGAGAAAAAAAACCACACACATTTCTATTTATAGCAAATTCTCTAAATAGGTTTAGTCTTGTACAAACCGAGCATTGCAGCAGCAGGTTTTTTTTTCTGAACGGGTGACTTGATCTCTCGACTGCTGCCTGCTCCATGTGTTTGCACAGTGAGAAGGAGAGACATTGCAGCGGATTCCTGAGCGAGCCTTGGGCAGGGGATCTGGACGAGACAGTGGCTGTGGCAGGCTGAGGCAGTTCGACATGTTCCCACTCATGGAAGTTCACAAACCTCATGGTGCACCTGCCTCGCTGCTGCACTGCTACTAGGGACGCAAATATCAAGGATTTTTTTGCGCTCTACAGTAACTTACCATGTACAGAAACAAACAGGGTGGAACAGGACAGAGGAATGAAGAAATTCCCTCCAGGGCTCATTTCTTTCCCTCTCGGTGCTGTCATCCCAGGTCAGAAGAGCCACAGCCTTCATTTTACAACCCCTCAAATGCTTACGGAAAATGGCAAGAATCAGAGCATACATGTGGGATTTCTGTTACTTTAAGCTATCATCTGGGAGCAGGGCTGATCTCAGCATATAGGTAGGATCTGCACAGACACAGGTTCCTATCTCTCTGCAATGCAGCCTTGGCAGTTCAGCAAGTTAGGCTGGTTCTGGGAGAGCATGGAAATGTATGGCCAGGAGCAGGATCTGGCAACAGCAAACTTTTAGCTCAAGTTTGGCATCAGAACTCACTTTCACCCTCAGTCAACATTTCACCAACTCTGCCACGTCTCACACATACAGGGAAGCAACGCTAGCAACTCCAGGGCACAGGAAAGGGGAGAAAATATAGCCACCTTATGTTAGCGCGCAGCAGAAGCCATGGGGAAAGGAGCTGGACGCAGTGATATACCATACACAAGCAGTTTTCCCAAGCAGGTCTCAGCCATGAGACAATTGCTATTATATATCTCTGCAGTAGATTCCCAAACTGTTCTGGCTCTGTTCTGGAAATAGCCCAGATTGCTGCCAATTCACAGTTTAGGTCACAGAGTTACACTGTTCTGTGGGAAATAGCCTTTCAGATACCCAAGCGAGACATACCTCCTAACGGAGAAACACAGGACACGCAGAAACAGGACAGACTATGGGAAGGATCTGCCAAGCTCCCAGAAAGTCCTTTACAAGTCAGCTTGGTCCGAAAGTTGGTACATGAACAGAGCTTCCTTAGAGTCGCATTCAAAAGCAACGAACCCACTCTCCAAATCGGAGGTTTAACTGGATTAACAACGGAGTCCTAAACGAATGCCCGTTAAAGCAGCAAACAAATAGCTCTCTTCCCTTCAAAACAGTGCTTACGCTTTCACATGCCGGTGCTGAAAAGCAAGCAACGAAACCGATTCCACTGCTTCTGCCCAAAAGAACCGGAGCCTTACAAAGCACCTCTCCAGTTTCCCGCACACCAGTTATTTGCTCAGGAGACACAACGCTCGCTGGAGTGGCGCAGCGCTCAGCGGCAGTAGGCACGCCAGCCACGCCGACAGGGCTGGCTGCTGCACAGAAACCTCCAGACTTTTGTCTCAGCCCAGCTGAGCGACTCATCTAGAGTCTCTCCACCAAGGTTTCTGCTAGCAAGAACAGGATCCAGGAGTCCCTGTCTTCTCCTGAATAAGGACGGAAAAAATAGCTGGGTAGAAGATTTACAGAGAATTAAAATGAAAGCTCCTGAGAGAAATCCAAGAGGGAAAGATTAAAAGCAGCAAGTTTGGAAAGCACAGATTTCTTGCTCGCCCATTACGTACATCTCAGTCTTGCATGACACAAAGGAATGTGACATACAGAACGCACGAGTAACGGAAGAAAGGCAACCAAAAGTTATCGGTGCTCTACTTACAGCAGTCCAGCTGGCAGACTGTGCACACTGGCTCTGAGCTTGTGGTCGCAAGCCCAATCCTTTTTTTAAAAAGTGCTGTAAATGGAGGTGGGAGGGGAAGAAGGGAGTCTGCAGACACTACAGCACTGTTCACTGGCCCTAACTGTGGTCTGTACTGAATAGTCTGAGCTAGTCATCATGAGATTTAAGTGCTGCTTCTAGTTTATTCAATTTCCTGGTATCCCTGGCAGCTTTAACTGCTTCCTTTCCAAATCTGTGGACCTGCTGCTACTCTCCCAGGATCCTAGCTTCAGATCTACTTAAAGGCACAGGTCGGGGACAGACATATTCCACTTGTTCGTATTGCAAGAGCATCTAGCAACGCTAGCCAGAGCCCTACTGCGCCAAGCTGCTTAGGCACGCTCTAAAGATACTGAGGACAAGCAGCTCGTTCTTCACTGATGTACTATAATGTGCTTTACAGATATACATCGTTGTTCTCCAGAGCCGATCCTCCCCTCTGAGCTCTCCCAGGCAGCTTCAGCAATCCCAGGCTCGAGCTCAGAGGCAAAAGGAGGGACCGTGCTGCGTCCGCACTCGGCACACAGCTGTGTTTCACCCATACACCTCATAATTGCACCCCTCTGTTTTTCCCTTGCGCAGCTCCTGAAGAATGAACTCCCAGTGCTATATTAAGAATTTAGACTATGTTTGCAAGGTCATACCAGAAAGGTGTGGCTTGGCTGCATCACCACTCACAGTCCCACATATAAGCCTCTCCCCGAGGTTCAAGGCTTTCTAAAAGCTTTATACACTTGAAGGGGTTCAGAGAGGAGCAAAAAGGACAAGGGAGAGCCCTGATATAATTCGCGGGGTAGGTTGTCAGTCAGCATTAATTTGTACTTCCTGGATTTTCCCCGTGATGAGAGAAGCTTGTGACTCAAATCAACATAGATCAGTGGAGTCAGGCAGAAGGCACATTTCCCTTCCTCCACCTGTAAACACAAGATACACAGCTAAGCTATTTACACAGCTAGGTTTCAGAAGCTTTTTAAAGGAAGAAGATAGGTGCTCTGGAGCATGTCCAGCTAGAGATGCCAGAGGGTGCAGTGCTGGGAATGAAGAATAAAGAGCAGAAGAAGAGCAGAGCAGGGATGCGGACAACGTGCTGCTGCGTTCGGCTTCAGAAGGGAAAGATGTCTGGGCAGAGTAAGAAAGGCAGAGGACGGAGGCACTCAGCAAGAATGTTAGCAGGGAGACTGAGTCAAGCTAGTAGCACGTGGAGACCAGCTCTTCAACAGCTCTCAAACGTAACACAAATGGAAAAATAGGCTCTTAAAAGTAAGCTAGGGGGCTGTTAGACTTCAGTGACGGGGGAAAGCCATGCAGGAGAACTGGATCCTCTATCATCACCTCCATCAAGGATCCCAGGCTGGCACCGTTACAGCGCAGCCATGGGTTGTGGAGATGAGGGCAGAGAACAGGGCAGCTCAAAATGTTCTTTTGTTAATTAATCATGCCCAAGACTAATAGTATTAGCCCACGTTGAGTTAAACCCTTTCTTCGGGCCACCCTGACAAACCCATTGGTTAGAGGCAGGATATGGAGAGAGAGTGCCCTCTGCCAACCATACTGGAGGTTTTGGGATGGATGATTAGGCCAGAAGTCAGTTCAGATTCTCCGCAGAGCAGCTAGATCACATGGCTGGGGCTGATAACTGTGCTTTGTAAGTACGTGCTCCTTCCGTGCCTGGGGGAACTCCGGGGCCAGGCGGGCAGTGGGTCTCTGCAAAAATCACGAGGGAACCCTGCCAAATGCGGTCATTTTGTTGGCTTTGTTCTCCCACGCTTCTACTGAGCTGCAACCTCTGTCCTTCAGGGCTCCTGGCTGCATCCCTTTGCTCATTTTTCAAGTGCTTATTTTTTTTTCTCACATTTCACATTTGTACCAATATATGTTTGCTCCTCTCACTGTAGATCTGTTCTGGCTCCAGGAGGCAGGGACTGTACCCTCCTCATGTAACTGTAGCATTACACTCCTGGACATAGCAAAAAGAGAGAGAGAGCGAGAGCGTGAGCGTGAGCGTGCACGCGAGAGAAAGAGTCCAATTTCAGGCTACGGGTTGCAGTTGAAGTGCTGGCTCACACAGACTTCCTGGAGTTGCACAACATTATTAGGCAGCTCAGAGCAGCTATATACATTAGTCAACTTTCTCTTTTAATTAAAATTAAGATTAAAAAGGCTGATGAGGTATCAGCACTGGTCCAACGCTTTACATCCTGCCCTTTGTGTGGAACCAAGGCAATACTCAATTATAGAGTTTAGGTAAAACTGGCTGTATTCATTTCGCATGATCCCTGTTACTGGAGGAGGAGCTGGAGCTCTTCCTCTTAGCATGGTTACAATCACGTCCCTTTCATGGAGTTTATTTTCATAGCAAACTTGTCTGGGCACCTTCTGTTAGAGACTCTGCTTGATCTGCTTCCCCAGAAGGGGAAGGTCCATCCCTAATCTTCCAGTTTATGCAGACTCCTCAGGAAATCTCAAAATCTTTGAACAAGAATAAAGAAAATTAACTAAGGACAGACTGTTCTTTACAGGACAATGCACTGAACTTTATGAAGCAGAGCATCGTGCCAGCCACTTTCTTTACCAACAGGCCCACTGAAGTGGAAGGCAGCAAAAAACAATCACGCATAGCAAAAAAACCTTTGTGACTATAAGACTGACAAGATCAGAAGAAAGACTGAGAATTGCTGGCAAGAGACGCATACAGGTGGAGAAAATGATGGTGAGTTTCGGCAGGCTGAGCAGCAAATGGACTCCCCTCCAGGCAACCGTTTTGCTCAGCCATACTGAAATTACTAAGACAGAAAAGCAATAAATGAAGCAGCATGTTCCTGAGCAGCGTGGCAGAATTGAGAAGTTGCTGACAATGTTTTCCTGGCTGTAACTAACTTCTGCTAGAGAAGTCTGGCATTTCCAGAGCAGGCTGAAGCACCTGGAACACACGCAAAGCCTTATATCTAGATCCAGGAACGATCCTCCACTCTTTCACAAAGGGTCCAAACTCAGTCAAGCTAAAACTGCTCCTCCGCTTGTGCTGGGCACCTCTCAGCCCTCGCACCACTACAGCAGGTAAGTTTATTCCACAACGATCACATCCACCTTCAGCAAGATGCAATAAAATCAGTGGCATCACTCCTTGTTTCCTGTTATTTTCTCTTAAAATCTAGGTCGGCAGTGGCAGGGGGGAACATGACCCTAAACCAGCCCAGGAAACAGCAAGAACTCCCCCCACCTACAAGGGAATCAAGGACACCTTCCCACATAGACTAGTGAAGATTTAGTTTTCATTTGACAGAAGAAATGCAATGTTAGAGATGGATCCGTGCCTCCAACTGTTGGGCCACATCTCAGGGTCACCACCTGCACGCGCTCCCCAGGATACAGCCATGAGAAAATAAAGGCATCTCTCCACCACAGCAGTAGCAGCAGGCTGCTTCTTGCTGCCACGTATACTGTGCTAAAAACGAAAATGTTTTTGAAGGTGCACAATAGGCTTTGGGCCTCAGAATACAGCAGTGGGTAAATCCAACCAGACCATCTTCATGGAAATGCAAAAATGATGCAGCCCTGGCATTGGGACAAATCCAAAACCATAGGAAGGTCATGGTATTCGGAAAGACAGTGGAATCGATTTTGGCAGCTCCTGTGGAGCACCACAGGATTCTGGCTTGCAAAACATGACCTGGCACTTGCCCTGTATACAGGTGCTGGTTTTGCAGACAGTGCTGAGTACACACCTGCCACAACAGGTCGGCTCAGGGGAGCTATTTCTGGATGATGGACAGATGTGGAAAGCTATAATAGGCTGAAGATGGCTGAAAGCGGTTGGTGATGGTTGTGCATGCCTGCATGGCTCTTATCCACACAAAGGACAGCTAGGCAGGACAGAATGAACAAGTTTTGGAGAAGCAGGTCCTAGAAACAAGTGTGAACTGAAGTACTCTAGTACTCCAGCAATAACCAGCTACCAGCTCAAAAAACCACAAGTGCTTTCAACCTGAATATTCCCAAATTAACTCAAAGTCTCCAGTGGGACAGTTGCTAAGGCCAGGACTTTCAAAGGCTCTGAACACATGCCACTCTTGGCCTTCTTAAATAATGCTAGGCAAAGGGACTACCACAAACTGAGCAAAGCAAAAGTGTGGTTCAGGGAAGCTGTTTTTCACGCCAACCAGCATTTCAGTCACTATTCAGAAAAGGTGAGACGCCATATTAGCGCACAGTGAAGTTTAACGGTGACAAACGTGGTAACAAAAGACAAACTGGAAGCTCTTCATATACCTCTCAGTTTGCCTGTTCATCTCTCAGTGCCACAAAACATTCCCCTTTTTTTTTTTAACTTTACTATTCCAGCTCTAACAAAATAGCACCCACCTTCGGCCATCTCCTCTCATAGGGCACAAAGAGCAAGAAAGTGCAAGTGCCATATCAGGTGTCGAAGCCAGAGCAGAATAATTCTGTGGTGGAACTGTGACTTTTGCACCTGGAAGGAGTGATTTGCCATCACAAGCTCTGTTCTAGCTCATCATGAGCTCCTCGCGAGCACAGTTTCTTCCTTTCTATACATGTGCAGTACGCTTCCCCTCCCTGTCTTAATCCCATCTATTTCTTCCCTCATTGTCCTTTTGGGTTCCTTGTTTGCTCTGCATTATTTATTCCCCTGCTTCCTATCAAGGTGGATGAAGCAGTTGCCCCCCTCTTTTGACACCCATGAGCAGCAGAAGTGTCTGGAGAGCAGAAGAATTGAGGCCCCCCCTCAGAACATGCAAGACCTGAGAAGAGACTGTGCTTCCCGCAGCTCCCAAAGCACAGAAGGTGCCGTATAAAAGCTGACTCACACGCTCATCTAGAGAGAAAAGCATGGGCTTAGAGATGCCAAAACTGACAGAGAAAGACTCATTACAATTTCTTCACAAAACAGCCAGGCTAGAGGGCTCCTGTGAAAGCATGTTAGACACCAAAACTCCTTATAGTCAACGCCAGCATGAATACAGAGCTAGTACTAACAAGTTTCCATCAAAGGCAATTCCCCGGAGGCATCTACAGAAGAACCTCTTCGGTATTCCCCCCTCATGACTTTTGAAGCAATTATCCTGAGACTGCAGTCTGGCAGGCCAGTTTAGCCTAGCTCCATCTCTCTTCTTCAGATCATCAAGGGCATGAAACAATAACGTAGTAATATGTCCCCATCTCACAAAATATCCAGTGTTCAGCATCCAGGGAGCAGAAACCAGAAGGCCTTCCATTCCCCCCATGGAGTGCACTTTATTTAAGCAGAGATAAGTTCAAGTGGCTTAAATCACAGTGGCTTAACAGGCCTTGTTTGGATGCCAGAATAGTTGAGTACAATCTCCTTACCGTTCAAAGCTTGCACCTCGTTCAGTCACCTCTCAGGACCCTTTTGCTCAGCCCCCGCCAAGTGCTCATTTGTCAGCTGGAGGAAGTTGCCTAGCCCTTCCTGTTACCAGCGGAGAGAAACAGGACAGCAGGAGACAGAAAAGAAGTGCCATGTGACCAATATTTTCCAGGATTACGTAACTTCTTGAATAAATAGATACTTCCTTATCCTGAGCTCTAGTTTCTGCGGGGACATTATACAACTGAGCACAGGAATGGCAACCAGTGAGATGTGATCCATATAACCAGAGAGCAAGAAACATCCTGCTGCTTCATCTTATGCTGAGGAACTGTAGAGTGGGGCAGGGCCCAAAGCCTGCTGATACTCTTTAAAGCCTTTTTAATCTAAAAATCAGTATTTGGAACCTTATCCAGCAAGACATATTAGACAACTTCTGCTCCCTCAGAAAACCCAGGTCTAGTGAAAAAGTTTGCATTCAAGTTCTCTACTTATTTTATATGCCCACATCAAGGACTACTTCTAGCATGAGCTCTCCTACCTACAGACTATT